CTTTAAAAAGGTCTTGTGCAGCAGATTTGCTTAATGCAATACATTATTTGATTTCTTGACTGCTATTTCTATGAGTGTTGATAGTGGTTCCAAGAAAAATGAAGTCTGACAACTTCAATCTCCATTTATCACGATGCCATTTATTGATCCATTTGGAACATGGAATATACAAAGTCTGAATTTTGGTAAATTGAAAGTTGTGAAAAGTGAAATGGATCACATAAAGATCGATATCCTAGACTTTAGTGACCTGAAATGGACTGGTATTGGCCATTTTGAATCAGACAATCTTATAGTCTCCATGCCAGGAACGTCAGGTTGAAGAGGAGTGATGTCACATTCATCATCAGAAGGAACATGGATAGCCCTGGTGTGGCACTGTAGGATAAACATTAGACTGCTAACCACAAGGGCGGTGGTCAGATCCACCAGCCACTCCTCGGAAACCCTACACAGGGTAGCTATGAGTTGGAATACACTCAACAGCAGTTAGTAGCAACAGCAGCAAAACACGTGCGCCTCACCAAGTGGAATGCTTAGGAGTCAAACTGACCACACCTGTGGGAAGAGACCCTGGAGAAGCTCCACGTCATCAGCCAAAACCAGGCCAGGGCAGACTCTGGAGCAGACCATCCACTGCTCACCTGCAGGCTGAAATTGAGGAAAAGGAAAACAAGTCCATAAGAGCCAAAATACGACCTTGAATATCTCTCACCTGAATTTAGAAACCATCTGAAGAACAGATTTGATGTACTAGGACACTAATCATGGAAGGTCAGAAGAGTTATGGATGACATCAAAAACAATACAGGAAGAAAACAAAACGTCATTAAAAAGGCAGGAAAGGAAGAAGAGACAAAAATGGATGTCAGAAGAGACTCAAACTTGTTCTTTAGCAAAGAGAAGCTAAAGATGATGGAAGACATGAATAAGTAAAAGAGATGAACAGAAAATTTCAAAGGGCAGATCAAGAAAACAAAGAAAAGCATTATAACGAAAAGTACAAAAACTGGAGTTAGAAAATGACAAAGGAATAAAACGTTCAGCATTTGTCAAGCTGAAAAAACTGAAAAAAACACTCAGTTCTCAACTTGCGATACTGAAGTGTTCTGTGAGCAAAAGTGGGAGAAGGGGCATCCCAGAGTGCTCACTGTGCTCATAGAGAACCTGTGTGTAGACTAGGAGGCACTTGTTTGAACAGAGCAAGAGTTTGCAGCTTTGTTTAAACTCCTTTCCCAACCCTGGTAGTGTGGTGAGTCACGTGGCAGGCTGCTATGTTAGCCAGGTTTTCTAGAGAAGTGAAACCAGAGAAACATATGTAAGTATGGAGTCCTGGGGTGTGGTGCTGTGGGCTAATGCATCAGACTGCAAAGTCGTTTGAACTGCAAGGTTGGTGGTTCAAGCTCACCAGTGGCTCCTCGGAAACCCTATATAGGGTCGCTATGGGCCGGAATCGACTCAACGGCACAACAACAGAGAGAGCAAGGTTGGCTTGAACTACACGTTGGTGGTTCAAACTTAATCAGCTGCTCCTCAGAAACCCTGTACAGGGTTGCAAATGAATCAGCATTTAACAACAACAATAACAACATATAGTTACGAGAGAAGTGTATTATCAAGGAAATGGCTTACAATTGCCTAGTCCCAGGTCCCCAGCACAGGAGAGTCTTTATATTGGGAGCAGGCCACACCCCCAAGGACACTTTCCTTCCATTGATTGGCTGTTTGTAGCCACTTGTCATAGAGTTAATTATGCCTGCATTAAGATTCCTCACCATGGGAATAAACACATCTCAACTGCAGTCTCTGGAAATCCTGGCCTAGTCAAGTAGACACAGAACCCTGACCATTACAGTTGCTAACCACGAGATGAGCAGTTTGAATCCAGCATCCACTCCACAGGAGAAAGATGAAGCTTTCAGCTCCCTTAGAGAGTTAGGAGTCCTGGTGTGGCGCTGTCGGTTAATGCACTGTACTGCAAGGTCAGTTTGAACCTAAAGGTCGGCAGTTCAAGCTCACTATTTGCTCCTCAGAAACCCTATACAGGGTCAGTATGGGTTGAACCGATTCCATGACACCTTGTAACAACAGATATTTATAGCCTCAGAAACCCTATATAGGGTCACTATGGGTTGAACCGACTCCATGACACCTTGTAACAACAGCTGTTTATAGCCTCAGAAACCCTATACGTAGTCACTGTGAATCAGTCAACTCAGGGACCCACCACCTCCACCACCGTGGGCAAAATAAGGAATGATGCAGAAAGCCTCAAAAGAGGATGGAAGGAATAAACAGGAGCATGGTACCAAAAAGAATTGGTCGATGGTCACCAGTTTCATGAGGCAGCATATGATCGAGAACCAAGGGTACTAACGGAAGAAGCCCGTTTCACTGAAGGCATTGGTGAAAAGAAGGGTGCAGGAATTGTTGGAATATACAAGACACTGATGCAGCACTGAAGGCCCTCAGTCACCTATGCCAAAAAATTTGAACGATGGCGTCATGTCTCATATTGCAGACATGTTATCAGGAGCCCCTGGAAAAGGCCATCATGATTGGTAAGGTGGAGGGTCAGCGAAAAAGAGGAGGACTCCCCAGGAGACGGGGGGACTGGTACAGTGGCCACAGCAGTGGGCTCAAGCTAACACCTGTGAGGATGGTGTAGAACCAGGCAGTGGTTCAGTCTGCTGTGCACAGGGTTATTGTGAGTCCAAGGCAACTCAGTGGCACCTAACAACACCAACAACAACACCTTCAGTCAGAACCAACTCAGTGACACCTAACAACAA